AATTATTGGTTCGATTTCGATACTTGGATCTCACGTTTCAATAATTATGTTCTGAGTCTTGGGTTTCGAGAGCATCGCGTCACGAATCCGAATTTTACTTTCGGCGAACAAAAGGTCATAGAGAAAATCAAACAAAATTTGGTATACATTCAAAACTCATTGATTCTCATGATGTCTCAACGAACATCAGACGATGTACCGTTCTCGAGACCATCGCGTCACAAAATATGGACGTTGGATGCGTACGCGAAAGACTACATAAATGCTGTGCTTCACACCGCTTTAAAAAGTGAGTGCGAGCACAAATCTTAAAAAGTAAATGTCATTAACGTTCTCAGGATTGTCTAAGTTAATATGTTGTTTTTCGTGTTGCCACCGATTTTAATAAAAGATGCAACATGAAATATTTATCAATACTTTCGTGGTATTGATATTGTGGATTTATTAATCATATTTCATATCTTGCGATCAAGTATCGTAAAACAGTGATTACACATTTGATCGAATATAACCTATCGAGGGTGTGAGTATGAATCTTTTCTTCAATGAACTCAGTCACTACCCACACATTCTCTTCCATTTATTGTAAACATTAAAGTTAAATGTTATTTATTTTCAAAAGTTGGTTAGATAGATTGAATTCTACACAAAATTATTAAGAAAAAGAAAAAGTAATGCTATTTTTGGAAAGTTTAAATTTGTTCTTAAATAATTTCATGATTGCTGTGCTTGTTCTTCGCGTAGTTTTCTAATTTTTTGTTTAATATAGTCGCCTGAGTATTGTTCATACTTCTTTTGCCATTCAGGATCACGCCAAAAGTCATAGTTTAATTTACCAACACAATTTTTCGCACCACATTTACATATGAAATCAATTGGCAGAGTTGCTTCTGAATCCAAACAGCCATAATGATAGGTGAGTTCTTCACCAACATCTATATCACGAATGGCCATAACTGAGAATTCATCATCGCTTGCAAATCCACAATTTGGTTCACAAGAATGATTGAAGAAAACACATTCGTCTGTAATCTCTTGTGTCATATAATTACGGGGTACATTGAATAAATCATCGTCGAGCATGTACGTATAAGAAAGAATGAAATCACTTGCTTCAGGATACTTTTCCATCAATGCAAGTACTTCCGCTCGTGTCATTTTATTACGAGGATCATCGGGCGGATAATAGTTACACATGGACATATCACATTCAAGAACTAATTCCCCACGTCGAATGGGCTCCAGTGCGACAATACCACGCTGACTATGACCATATTTTGATGCCAAATCACGCACTTCTAATTTTTTTAGGAATGGCATTATTGTGGAATAGGATACTATAGACAAGATATAAAAAAAGTCTAGAAGTATTTGTTTTCGTATAATGCTCATGAATGATATGAAATTCTGAGAAAATATCAAAAATAAAAAAGCGGTAATTTATCGTGAGTGATTACAAACTTCTTTTTCGATTCATACGGACCTTAGCCTTGTTGTATTTTATGTAGGTGCTCGACGTAGTTGCACTCCTAACTAATCTATTCAGTTGCATGCGTGCTTCCTGCAATAATTGGATCTTTGTAGAATTTTGATCGGCACATCCTATAGAATATTTGATTTAAGAGAAAAATATGAAAAAGAAACTCAGCAAAACAATTTATTGATATAGGATCTATGTACAACTAATAGAAATATAAAGTTGAAGTAGATAACAATAAAAGTGTTCTGAAAATTAACTCGACGAGTGTTTCAGGCGACTTCTTGGACTAGCTACTGTGTTCCAATGTTGAACATTTTTAGAAAACCATTCAACCTATTTCGACAGTAGTCAGAATTTTTGATGCGAAAATATAAAATAATGCAATTACAAATATGAACCATGATAATTCTAATAATTTTCCTTCAAATCTCATCAACTCTATTAAAAATTATGAATTTAACTCTTCAAATGATAATATACGATATATTCTACAGAGAGTATTGTCATAGATACAACAGGAATGATCTGTTAGAAATGAATAGTGAACATGAACCTTATCTACAAAACGATGCATCGATATATTATTGAACTAAGTTTTTATTGCAAAAGTCTTCATTGCTGTTTGTTTTTGTTTTCTTAAGAAAAGTTGACAGGACTACATTTTGTCGAATGTTGAACAAATTGCATAACATTCATGTACACGCATCTCGACTATTTTTAATCATTCTCTCATTGATTGAAGTCTATCATGAGACGCTCGAAGCTAAAACATTAGTCAGTTCTATGATCATCTCTTCTTAACAACGAACAAACGAGAGAAATTTTTATAATAAAATGTATATATGTACACCTATATGTAGTAATTGACTTTTACCTGTTTGTTCACGTTTGACTAGAATAGTACTGTTATGAGAACATTATGAATTCCGTATAACTCCAATATGTATGGAATGTATTCGATGATTGTTTTTTCATATGATGGTTATCATCGTCAACTTTTTATTTATATAGAGAGACTTCTCAATCGCTGCCTATAGTTATGATCTACCACTAAAAATACTAGAATTGACACCTTACTTTTCTCAAAACATTCGTGAGGAAATTACTCTAAATGATTTTTTGCTGCTGTCTCTATCTTATATCTGCAAAAAAAGATTGATAGGAATGCAAAACCTATAAAATAATATTGTTTACGACATATTACTAAACAGTAAAGACTATTGTTCTGAGTTGTATCTCTAGAGCAACGTATTATCTAGGAAATCTAATCATAAAATATTTTCTTGAAATCACTGCTCTAGATATGCTCAGCTGTCGTTGAAGTCACTGTAAATTTTCACCAGCTGCTAAATTGATTGATAGACGAAAAGTTATCCGAAAGGCATTGATTGTTGTTGAATCATTTCCGCTGAAAATTTCGCAATCATGTCCTTTCGACAATATGTTCTTATGATTTAGTACATGTCATGAACAAATATTCTTTGATATTTTTCTTATTCTCACCAATATTTTGGGAGAAAAGATTCAGTCAAAAACATGACATCGCTTCGAATGATTTTCTGACGAGTAGTCTCTGAAAAGAAAAATGTAAATTTTTGTATTTCAATGACAGATTACATCTTTGCATAGTCATTGAGAAGTTTCTTTTTATAGAAAAAAAATTTAACAATGACATACATCATATGGAAAACAATTATCGATTGAGTTGCACACATAGTTGGGCGAAAAGAAATAGTATATGGAAAATGACTTTTGAGACAGACTTTGTTAGTATAAATATCACGAGTAGAACAACAAAAGCACACAACATAGCATCTGAACTAAAACTCTCACCATTCATTGAGGTGTCAGTCAACATGTATCTTCATGTTTCATAAATGTGAAAATATATTAAAAAATATGATAATGATCAAAATATAAAGATAATGCTTATCAGAAGATTTTGCACAGGTGAAACGCATGCGAACTGAGTTACGAATGTAATGTCAAGGATGAATATCTCAGTATTTTATGCGCATCTCTCACAACTATCGACTTTTCGATATTGAATTTTTGTTACAAGGTAGCTTGTTTGATGCTTGTCAATACTCAATAAAAAAAACTATCGAAAAAAATCAATGCACAACTAATGCAATTCAAACAATAATACTATAGTTCAACAAGAACCACTGCCAAGCTACTATCGTTCTTGTTTTACAACGAAGCGAGGGCAAGCATAATTCATTACAAGCAGAGTTTCAAAATTCTGCTTTAGAATCAGCTTCGTATAACCTTTAGAGTGTTTACATGACTCAAATGAAGGTGGCTTGACGGAAAATGACCAGAGCTGTTGAATTTCTGTAGATTCCTGGCAGCCAGATCCGTGATCAATTCATGTTTCTGTTTCTCGCTTGATTTCTACCATTTCTTCAGTCTGGATTCTATTATTTTCTCTTACATTCTTGTCTTACCAATAATTTGTGAATCAACTTGTTGTACCTGTGAATAGGAGAACGAGTATCTTTCGGAATGAGTAGAGAATCCACCGAGGAAACGTGAACATAAAAGATGCTTTTCATGATGAATTTACTTATTTTTGTATTATGAATGAGTTTGCTCTTACGCTCAGATTCTTCTCTGTTCCTATTTTCTACAGAGAATGAAATATTTACGTATTTGTTCTTAAACTTTTTGTCTCCAGTTTATAATTATTCGGTCATATAAAACAGTACTAACGAAAAACTTTTACCTCTAATTGTGAATCTTTTGGAAAATAAGTGAATACCTGTCAATGAGAAAAAGATCAAAAGTGGATATACAACATAATAAAACAAACTAATTCAATATTACTTTATCATAGAAATGTTTTCTGAATTCAGAAAAGAAAGATCTTTCTGCTGAAATTTAATTATAGACATTGATTATATAATCGACTTCGCATCGTTGAAACTGCTCAAAAATAGCCATTTAGCGATCAAAAATAAGATAAATACAGAGATAGACAGCTTGCGATCTGATTCCACATGAACGACAAAAATTTTAACTCGATACCTCGTTTTTTTTTTCAAAAACTTATGAATACTTCCGTCATCTCCTATTCAAAAAAGAAGCTGTTTTTGGAAAAAACCGAAAATCTTTTTCGTTTTTTCTCGCTTTATAGATTTTCCATCGGACATCCCAGAATTCTTGCAGACGTATCATTGTAATCAATACCTTGTCTTGTTGTTTGAAAAACTATGTGAAGACGCTTTACAGTACAAAATCCTTTTTTTAGTTAAGCTTCGTTTTTATTATATATCCAAACACTTGTATAAATAGACACTCTTTTTTCAGAGTTTTTATAGTCATTAAACTTGTTATATCTTTCCGCCTCTTAAAAAGCAAGAGTTATAAAAAAAGGAACTGTATACTCTAATTCATCCTGCTTTGCTCTTTCAAACAAAATTCAAATGAACGACTTTCAAATATATTGATAAGCAACTTTATAAAACAAAAAAAATATAAAAAACAAGTATAATTACAAATTCAAACAAGAACTGATTCAGTTAATTTCGTTTGTGTTTGTTCTTGTTGCTAAATGTTTTATCCACCATCGATAAGCAAGTAATGACTGACCAACAATCAAACGTAAAGTATATGTTAAACCTAAAAATCAGAAATCAATGAAATTTTGATAAAATTCCTATGTTTTTTATTTACCTCCATATAATCCTAAAACAGTTGTTAACATTGTCAAAGGATTATTTTTATCTGATAATGTATATTGACATTCTGATGGTTTACATGTTTGAAAATAATTTGTATAATTAGTTGTATTTGTCCATATTTCTACAAATAATTGATCATTTAATTTTCCTAATGAAAAATTTTCAAATTTTGATAAACGAAATCCATCATAGGGGAAACAACCAATAACAATATCATCTTTTAATTGTTCATTACAATTTGATGATATTGCACAACTACAATTTGACGATGAAAAACGTCGTGGAAATGTTTTTATCACATTTTTTTCATTTTCATCAGTAAAATCAACTTGCCAATTACTTCTAAAAAGATGTAATAATTGATTAACACTAAATGAATTAACTATAAATGAAAGTGTACGACGATAATCAGCTGAAATTTTAGAAACAAATGTTGAAAGTAATGCTTTTGTTTGAATATCAAATGAAGAACGAGTTAATGTTTCAACAGTAACTAGTTCACGAGTACCAAAGACATCTGTAGCATTATTAATGAAATGACGAGATGAACGGCATAGTGATGATAATAAACGATAATGAGTACTTAATGCTAATGATACACTATCATTATTTTTTAATATATTCATACTATATGTTGGAGAAATATATTTACTTGAACATATTGAATGATATTTTGGTGTTATTGATAAAAAATTTGAATAAGGAATAGCTGCTTTTGAACAAGGACATGAAAGACTTGAAATATTTTTCTGATGAAAATCATTAAAAATATCTATTGTTGGATATTTTTCATTAAAAGATTCTCTTTCTTCACTAAATGGACCAGAATATATAAGAGCACCAATTAAACATAACATAAATAAAAATATATAAATTCGAGTAGCATTGACTTCTTGATCCAAAAATTGTTTCTCTGTCGAAGGTGGGTCACTAACAAATAAATTCAATGACAAAAGTTTTGTAAATACATTATGACGGCGACGATGAGCATTTTTTGACGAAGAAGAACATTGATCATAGATTGTTATGTCTAGAATAGGACAAATACTTAATAAATCTGTTCTAGTATTGTTCATAAGAATAAGTCTCATATAATGTTACTAGGAATGGGTAATATAGAGATGCGAATTCACATTTTTATAAACTCGGACTCCAACTCTAACTCAATAAAAACTAAATACCTGTTCTGAGGCTCCATAGATCTAAATCCTACTCAGATGTTTCTCTAGAACAAAATCCGCCATTAAAAAAATATGTCAAACTAGCAATAAAAACAGAACCTTCAACTCTATAAGACAGTTTCGGCTGTATTTATGTAAATAACATCCAATATAAAAAAAAGAAGAAAGAATATTATAGGCTGACTGTGAATCATCTTTATTCAGATTCAAAATTAATGTGGAACGAAGCCTAAAGCTTAACCTAGATACAAAGTAAGACGCGACCAAAACTCGGTCGAACCTGGATCTCCAATTTTCTAATGGAAGAAGCCAATATTTTTTTTAATTTAGAATCACTAAGTCCAATTTCTATATAAAACTGCTTATCCTACGATTATAAAATGAATGTGAATTGCTCTCGTGAAACAATTACTAGAATATATTTTATGCTAGGAGGAGCTAGTAGGATTGTCTTTTATTGTTTATCAAATTATATGATTTGATGTAAATACTGAATTGAAGAATATAGCTGTTTTTTGAAATATGAAAAAATACAAGTATATCGCTTTTAATGAAAATTTTTCTCATGGGAATTTTTCTCTAGTTAAAATCAAAGTCATATCGAAATCATTTCATTCATAAGCGCTACCACACAAATTGGCATGACGCACTAGACTACAATGTAACGAGCAAAAAAAAGGAGAACTTAATAGCATCCACTTGTGAAACATTATCCGATCTTATTATTGAGATTACAATGATGATCGTTAAATTTTCAATAAAGAAATTTTCTTTTTGAGAATTTGTTTCAACAAAATGTTATTGTCAGAATATTATAATTTTGTAAGCTCATTAAAAAAACATATTTTCTCAATCTCGATAGTGATAGAAATCGATTCATGAATAGAAAACCATATGTTAACTTTCGATATTTTCGTTCTTTGTTTTTAAATGTTTGATTTAAACAAGTTTATCATAAAATTGTGAAGATTCTACAGTATTAAAAAGCTTCTTTTTTTTTTTACAAAAAGGACAAGATTTAGAATTATTATTCACTCAACCACGAATAATATCGTTAATGAAAACAAATAAGAAATGTTTAGAATATTTCATTATTATGGTGGAAAAGGTTTATGTAAAAAATATCTTCTAATCATTTTTTTTTAAATTCTTGTTCAAGATTAATTAAAATTCATCGTTATTTCAATGATCTGTTTTATCTATAGGACATCGTCAATATTTTATTTTATTCAATGGAATAATAGTGATATGATCTTACCCGTCGTGATTACGTTAGGATTATCTGATTGCACTGATTTTTTTCGTTTTATCCATAGTTGTAAAGATGTTTTAACAAGTGATGGTAAAATAATTTCTAAAATGGTACTTAATCCACCATAAAATCCAAGCATAATAGTAAACATGTAGCCAGCATCAAAACGTTTTTGTATCGTATAAGTGCATTGTGTAGGTGCACATCGTTTATAATATGCCGTAAAATTACTTGAATTAATCCAATCTTCTATAAATAATTGTGAAAATATTTCATTTATTGTTGTATTTGGATAATAACGACTGCCTTCATTTCGAAGTGGTTCTATTTGAACAGCACGAATATCTAATGGTCGAACTAAATCAACAACATCAAAATAATAACCATCAACAAGAAGTTTGATACATTTTTTCTCATAAAAACATTCTAATGTAGATAAAAGAAGAGAATCCATTGCATAACAACCAAGAACTAAACCAGGTACGGTTATATTAGGTGGAACAAGCATATTATCTGTTTCTTGTAAATAAAAACCAACAGGACGAGTACATTGATCAGATACAGCACATGAACATGAATTTGTATAAAAATCTCTCGGTCGAAAACGAAATGACCATTTTGATGTTTCATTATTATATATTGATAAAGGACCAACATTTGTCCATGTTTCTTCTGCTAATTGATTTGTTTGAATTGATGAACGAATTAATTCAATTAGACCAAGAAAAGAAGCTATTGTTTGTTCTTGAAATTGTTTTAAACGTCTTGTAGTTTCAATATGAAATTGTGAACGTGATAATGCATTCATTGTAACTAATCGATTTGAACGAAATACTTTTAAAGCATTTTCAACTGTTTCATTTGCTGTTACACATAATATGGTTATTAACTTAAAAAATGATTGACCACTAGTTCGAAAGTCAGTTGTTAGAAAATCAACACTATCAAGATTAATTTCTACACGACCAAAATAAGATAACCAATAATCTTTGAGATAATCACTTGAACATATTGAATGATAACGAGGATAAAGACTCATTATTCGAGCATGTGACATTGAAAAATTTGAACATGGACAATTTAATGTTAACGAATGCATTGAATGTAAGTCTTCAAATTTTGAAAGTGAAGGCCCTTTTATAGTATATGTGTGACTATGTGTTAATAATAGTGTATAACAACTTAGAATTATAAGACCGATAATTGTGAATAAAATATAAAGACGTGTAGCCATAATACCAATACGTTCGTCATCGGGATTATTTTTATTATCCGATGAAAATAAATTAAAATTATGAATTGTTCGATGAACATAAGCAGTTACAGCTAAAAGAAAATATATACTTATTTTACGTTTCATCAAAAATTTACAGTAGAAAAAAATGATTGGGAACATGTTTTCTTTTTTTAATACATGACTTTGACTAAGTCACTGTGGTTAAATAGTAGTTACATTGTTTGACATATAATTCTATGACTCTGTGATCTTTGTTTTTCAAGTTTGATCAAGGTTACTCAAAAGTCAATGCTACATTTCACGAGGATATTTTGAAGTCTTAAAAATTATTGTCTAAAAGTTATATATTCATATGAAATATCAGAAAATTGACAGTATTATTTAAAGAAAAAAATAGTTGTATATTATGCATGGAATGAAAATAGTATTTACATAATTTGACATCACACTATAAAATTTTCTTTTAATGTCAGACATGAAAATCGTACTGATATTCGATCTAATTTCTTCATTTTTTTTACTTTTATCTGATACTCATAGTTTTTATAAGAAAAGAAGCATGATATGTGTATAATCAACGTGTCTCCTTGATTGCGGGCAATTTTTCTTAATTGGAGGAAAAATATGTCCGCAAAGTAGAATCAGGGGGTATAGACAAAAATGACCGCATTTTGAAAATTGTCCGCAAAGCAGAATCGAGGCAGAGAATGAAAATGTCCGCATTATAGAATCAAAAAAAAAGTAGAAATAGTAAGAAAATTAGTACAGACAAATCGATTCTATCGACGCTAATCAGTAATGATTCGATTAGAACAGGAACACGCACAACAACGAACAACTCGTCCAAAAAGGTTAACTTCAGTTAATAATGAAAATATTTTAGTACAAGCAACAGAAGATTATTTAAATGGTCTACTAGATTTAGATGATTATCAAAAAAGACTACGTTCTCTTTGTTACCGATACATTCACATATTTGATACATCTGACAAAGATGACGAAGATTATGAACCAAAGCATAGTTGAATGTTGAATCATCTCGTACTACTTGTATCTTTCTCTTTCCTCACATAATAAATTTTTTCTTGATTCTATAATGCGGACATTTTCATTCTGTGCCTCGATTCTGCTTTGCGGACAATTTTCAAAATGCGGTCATTTTTGTCTATACCCCCTGATTCTGCTTTGCGGACATTTTACCTTAATTGGTTAAAAAAAGTGTCCGCATTGTAGCTGTAGCCATAATCAATTACAAAAATATATTCTTTATTCTATGTATTATCAAAAATTTCTGCGAAGAAAATTTTAATAGAACAAATTCTACGATGAAATATAGAATTTTTGATATATCTTAACATACAAATTATTTCCAAATCTAATAAATTTTCATATTTTCTTATTCTACGAGTAAATATATTCAAGATTTGTTATGCTTAGTTCACCATGTCAATTCGAAAATATGTTTTCTAATTATTTTTCGTAAAGAAAATAGTGTTGAATGTGTATGTATATTTAATTAATAGTTAAATTATTAACCTTTATTTATTGGTTTTGGTGCCATTTTTAAAATTTCTAATTCTATATGTGTTTGTCTTTGTTGGTTTTTCCATTTAATTCGTTTCCAAATTTTCAAGATGCTTGGTGTAATTAATTGCCCAGCAACAACAAGACCACCGAAAGCACTAAGACTCATTGTAATAATTGTACCAAGATGAAATCGAGTTTTATAATTATAAGAGAGTGATTGAGGTGCACAAGCAGCATAATACTTTTCAAAACTCGATCGATTTTGCCAAGATTCAATAAATAAAGATTCATCAAATATTGAACCGATTGTCGAATTCAATGGAAATCGTGATAGCGATGCATTTAAAGCTTTTGGTTGTGAAATTTTTGGTTGAAGTGATATTGCATCTATACATGATTGATTATATAAACATTCAAGAGTTGATTGACGCATAGCATCAAGAGGTATACATCCAGCCATCATTCCAGGAATCTAAACTCATATTATAACTGAATTATATAGAGTATAACTGAATGATTATGTGATTTTATTTGCTCAACATTGAAATATGAAAAGATGATCACTTGACTTGTGCTTTGAACAATAATTCTCAAGGTTTTCTATTGGTAGCACATAGTAAAACCCAAATTATATCGAAATGGAACAACGTTTCCTTGCAATATATTTTTTTGAATGGTTTCTAAACATGACGAGTTTTAAAAGGATTTCGTCGAACAATAGCATCAGACAAAAAAAATTTGGAGTTGCTGAAAAGTGCAAATCTCTAACTATTAACGTTGTCAAATTATTGAGCTTAGTCTCATTTCTCTTTAATTCTAGTGCGAACATTAGTTTTTAAGTATATGATGAACTGAAATCGAAGATAACTATATACGTAATCTTGAAGATCCACTATTGAACATAATTATTTTGATCATGACAAATAATGTAATGTAGATCTGTTCCCACAGAAGATCGATGGTTCTTATTAGATCTATGTATTATCTTTAAAACATCATTTTTGTCATATACATCTTTCTTTACTCACTACTATCTAATCTTTTATATTTCTCTACGTGTGCTCTCTCCGGGACGTACTATGAAACGTTTCATATCATCAATAGAGTTCCTATATAAACATGAACATACATATGATCTAAACGAAATACATATATGACAAAGAAGAAAAACACAAAAACAATAATTACATGCATGAACGTGCAACCAACTATTCTTTCGAATTACCTACTTTTAGTGAACTAAGAAAAAATATACTGATTTTAAGAATCACATGTTTTCAAAGTACGAAAGAATGATAATAGCCGTTTGACTTCATTTTTTAATCTCTTACAAATAGTTATTTTTCTATATTCTAACAATCTAGACTACGATAGAATGAGTTCTATCAGCTATGATACTTGCCTATCAAGAAAAAATATGTGAGAATATTTAGTTTTTCTTAGTAACTTGACAATCAAGAGTATATTAGTTATTGGATAGTATGTTAAAGATATTTTTTTTTCACACACATAAATAATATCCTTGAATAGAGCTCACTACAGGCTATGGATAAATATTGTGGAATATCGCAAAAAAAGTCAATTGAAGTTTCGTCTATAGGGATACGACATTTTTCAAATAGTCGGTCGGAAAGATTTAATTGCTTACTTGAAATAGAGGTGGTGGATCATTTTTAGCTGCTTCTCCCAATTCTGGTAAAGTCCAATTATAAAAAGCACCAGCTGGATATATACATTGATTTCCTTTTAATAAACAATCACAAGTTGATTCATTTGTTCCATTTACTTCCAAATAAACTCCATGATATGTTACATATCTTTTTGAACCAGGTACAGATTTAATATAATAGTTTGTACGTAAAGCTGAAAACAATCGATTCTGTGCTATAATCATTGATAATACACTTGCGGTTCGTTTTTCATTAGTCAAAACATTTTGTTGAAGATAATTAGAAAGAACAGAAGCTACTTCATTAAATAGAGCTCGTGAAAAAGTATTACGATTAACTAAATGAGTAGAATTAAATGTACGATGAGTATCCTTAACAGCTTGACGTGCTAAATGACAAAGTAAACGAAGAGAACGATAATGAGAAAAAGCAAATGTACGAAAATCCAAAATATTATGAGATGTTGCATTGACAAGAAATAAAGATGAAATCCATTTTTTTCGAACAAATGGACTTAAACATACTTGATGAAATTGAGGAGATAAATCCAAAAATTTATTAAAAGGTATTGATACTTCAGTACATGGAACGTTAATTGTACTTGAATAACGTGCTTCGAGTCGTTCAAAATCCGATATAGAAAACTTATTTAGAGTGACATCATGTGTTCGAACAGTTAAACTAGCATAACCAATAACACCTAATAGAGATATTGAAATAAGTATAAGAAAAAGTCGAGTACTAAGAACTTGTTCATCAAAATTTAATACTGGTGACCAAAATGGATTATCAGAAAATAAATTTAATTCTCGAATAGCACGAATTAAACGGGAATATGCAGCCGATAAGATACTTTTAGAAGATGAAGATGTTTTCACTTCATTTGATGAATTACTTATCATTATTATTATTCTATATCAAATTCGATATTTGACAACATTATATCTGAAATCAAAAAATTAAATATTCCCTTAAACCCTAAATGTAAATAGAGAATTACAAAAATCAATCGATATTTATTTAAATAAATAATAGTTTCATATTTCATCTGAAGATAATTTTAAGATATATTAGACTTTTTTTTACTCAAAACATAGTATATGAATCTATAAAGAATTTATCAACAATATTTATATTTAATTAATTTTTAAAATAGATGGTGGTTCAAAAAGTCATTTTACCAAGAAACACTCGAATATTATTGATACAACTCGAGCAAACAGGTTGAGTTTTCTACAAGTAATAAAAACCTATTCACACTTCATATCCTTGAAGACAAGGCTAGAGAAAAACTTTTTCAAGTATCACTATTGGCTTCAACACAAAAAAGATTTACTCTTTCATACAGAGAAAAAAAATATATACAATGAAGAAGACCCTATTTATCAAGATACAATGTAAATAAATAAATGATCTGTTAATTGCAATGTGTCATTCAGTCATATATCTTGTTTCTTCGTATTTTTCTCCCATCGTTGTGTCGTAGTCCATATTGATAGTTCATACGATATAAATCTTTTTTTCTTTCTTTATACTGTCATTCATATTCATGTACCATGTTTGTTCATGCATATTTTGTGTATGTTAGCTTAGTGTTGTTCTTAATTTTCAATCTTATATTTATTGTGTAGACCTTGTTTCAAGCTCATGTATTTGTAGATACCGAAATTCATGAAAAAAGAACACAAGATTTCACAAAATAAACGTCGACAAAACTAGTATATGAAATAGGATTGACAATATACATGGAAAAAAAAAGTTTATATCCTATCAACTATCATTATGGAGTATAGTAGGGCGAAATACGTAGAGGTAAAATATAGAAATGAACGACATATTGTAATTAAAAGATCATTTATTCATTTACATAATATCTTAATAAATTGATTCTGCTTCGTTGTACATTGGTTTTTCTATTTGTGAAAATATAAATTGTTTTTTTTTTTGCTGAAGTTAATAATTATACTTATAAAAGGTTTTCTCTAGCCTTGTCTGTATGGATATGAAGCATGAATATTTTTTAATTATTAGTAGAAAACTCAAGTTATTCGCTCGAGTCAAGACAGAGATATTCAACTGTTCCTCGGTAAAATGACTTTTGGACTAACCCATACTTTGTATCTATATTTTAATTAAAACTGTTCACATAAGACATATATTGAAGGAAACTTCAAATCGACTATTATTAAAAATCTAGGATGTATTCAATAATTTTTTTCTTTTTCGTTTCCTTTTCATTGACTTTCACATTATTCAACTGGACAATTGAAGAAATACATCAACTTTGAATTATCATGATTGTATCAATTAGTATATCAGATAAATGTGATTTCTTTTTCATCAACTATGCAAAATGTTTTCTAAGTCTCGAGGCACAACAAAATTAGTTTATATACAGATAGAAAATAATCTGTAACCGAATATTTTTACATATAAATCTTGAGTATTCATATCATTCCTTCAAATAACATATTATTGAATAATATCTTTTGTTGTTATTATAAAAATATAAATATAAGAATGTGACGATAGATAAAGTTGCTAATATATGATCTATTGAAAGTTTATGAAGAATATTAAAATAATTGGTACGACATGGACAATTTTCAAGCTTTAAATAACATGTAACTAGATTGAACAAAAGATTAAAAGAAAATCTTGTAATGATTGTTTAAAGAGCAATTGAAAAAATTTCTATGAGACTTATCATATTAATAAAAAATAGAAGAGTGTTTTTCGGTTTTTTTTAGAGAACGATTTTATGGATAGATCATAAAAAATTTATCAAAACATTCTTACGTTTATATTTCTATGATTAAGACAGAAGACATTATCCAATGATCTGTCATTTGAAAGATTGACACGAATACGCAAGGGTCCTATAAAAACATTTGTTTAGGAGTTATTTTCTGTTTACTAATAAACTAATTTTGTCGCGCCTAAAAGAGCTTATCAGACGCCTTGTAGTACTCGTATAATATTCATGATTTGTTATGTTTTCAATTATATATCTTGTCCTAATCTAAAATAATCAAGTGTCTTCAAGAAATCTTTTGCTGAAACGTACTTTTATCAAACTTATTCTCTATAATTCGTACTTGTCAGTTCAACTAGTGAACCATACAACCGACAAATTTTTATTGAAAATAATTGATCAAGAAATGTACATAATGTACTATGAACTATAATTACGAACAGAATGTTTGTTCAGTTTGATATTACATGGAGCAGAAATAACATGGACAATTTTAGTAAGTTTATGAAAATTATCATAAACTCTTCTGCAAATATTTCCTTAAATGGCATAAGTTTTAATATGTTGGTTAAATGTTTTCAATCTCTGCTATTGTTTTATAAATATGGCAATGGAAATATTAGTCTTTAGTTTTGAACTCGCTGATATGAAGTTTCTTTTCTTGATGTGATAAGCACTCAACTTTATTATTTTGAATTCGAAAAATATATATAAAGCAAAAAATAACAAATCTTAAACATCATACGAATAATATATGTTATTTACAAAAAAACACTTTTTTTTGATTTATTATAGATGTAGCATGACAAAAAGAAAGAATTGGAACAAGCAGTCAGTCTGTTCAAGGTCAAACATTGATAAGTTGCACATGGATAACCATTATATACCACTAAAATAGTCTCTTGGAAATTCAACAAAAGAGAATCTATTCAGATATCAGAAGAAATAAGAGAAAATCACGTATGGTCTATGAAAATATTAGATAATTTTTTTATAGTATAGGATATCATGAAATAATCTTATATCGGTGTGAGATTTGAAAGTATTCGATTAAAATAGTGAATAAGGTTGAGATTGCTAGTAGTTAACAATGTGTAAATTGAAAAAGAAGATACGAGAATGTCTTGTTCTCTGTTTGCATATAGGACAAAATCACTTTGAAACCAATGATTTTCGCAAAATATTGAAAAATGTATGAAAATGATTCGTAATTCGGATAGAATTTTGATTTTGATATGCTTCTTAAATACAGGAACTTTAGGTCTATAGTTTAAAAAACAATCTGAACTATTACTTTCTCACATCCCAATACTGAGTAAATCAAATTATGTATCTGTTTGATCAAATCATATAGTTTAGTTGACTTTTAAGCCGATTTTCTTGTCAAACTTTCATTGGAATGACAGATCATTTTCCGATAACTGATAAAAGAGGACGACGCATAAGGACACATCTTAACTTCTTCTGATCATTTTGATTTCATCATAGTTGTGAACATAATCTATTCTCATGACATATTAAATAAATAGTTAGTTATTTAGAGAAGCCAATGATATGAGTATTCATTTGACAAAAAACAAATAATGGCAAAGATTGATTCAGAATCATTCTGATAGTCTTTTATTCAAGGTTGATTTTCATAAAACAACTATTCACTTATAATAATATTTTAGAGCTATAAGACCGTAGACAAATCTTCGATTGGTTATATTTTGAATCTAACATACTCATATGTATTGTATTTGTTATTTAACCATTTTGTTAATGAAACTTGCAAAATGCTATTTGAAGAAAAAAGGATAAATGATTAAACTATTAAATATCTTTTTCGATGAAATTGGTTTTTCAACATATTTCTGAGGATGTATAGTGATGACAATTTAATTAGAAAAAAAGTCACAGAAAAAATTTAAAACATGTATCGATCGACTCTGTATTTTTGTGCTGATTCCAAAATATAATATTTCTTTGAAGTGAAATAATTAATATTTTGCTTGACAACCGTCAAATGTTAGTCGCAAAAGTTAAAAATTAAGCAACACGAATAATGACACTAAAGATTTTGTTGAGTCATTCATTTTCTAATGCTTCAACAGCTCCATTGATTATGAAATGAACCAAGTGTAGAACAGGTTTCATTAACAGAATGATTAAATAACAAATACAATACACATGAGTATTTCAGATTCAAAATGTAACCAATCGAAGATTTGTCTACGGTCTTATAGCTCTAACATATTATTATAAGTGAATAGTTTTTTTTATGAAAATGAACCTTGAACAAAAGACTATCACAATAACTATGAATCAATCTTCACCATCATTTGTTTTTTGTCAAATGAATACTTACATCATTAACTTCTATAAATAACTAACTGTCTATTTAATACATCATGAAAATAGATGATGTTCACAACTATGATGAAATCAAAATGATTAGAAGGAGTTAAGATGTGATCTTATGGGTTCCCTTCTTTTGTCAGTGACCGAAAACTGTTCTGTCTTTTTTTTTTAGAAAATCAAGTCATTTGAAAAAAACTAAAAACTTTCTTAAAAAAATCATTGTGAAAAATTGAAAATGCACGTCTTTTGGCTTGGATCGTCACATTCTATTTAATCATATAAAAAGGATAAAAAAAAAAACTTCTACTTTAATTTTTGCGTTTCCGATATCTTGCAGATGATAACTTTTTTCTTCATCGTTTTTGGCTGTGTTTCATTCTATCACGACAAGTTAGATACCATTAATCATTGTTTTTGCTAAAAATTATTGTAACACCTCACAATTTTCAATTAATAAATGTCATTTGGATTAGTCAGTTTTCATGTTCTAATAATAAATGCTTAAGCTAAAATGAATCGATTATTCTAAAAAACGGTGGGAATATTGTTATTTTTTATTATCTAAATAAATATGACGTTCTATTTAAGACTTACTTAAATATACTGAAGTACACTGAAATATTAACAGATGCCCTTGTATTATTCCTGTTCGACTCACAAGTAAATAATGTAAACATCGAGAAGCTTTCTCTTTTCCTGATCTACAAACGATATAATCATATGTCAACCAATTTCTTTTTCTTTCTTATGAATAATAATAATTATTTTATAGGAAATCTTTGACGAAGCCTTTTCGTCTATGAC